ATAAGGGGAGGGCTGGTGAGATGGCTCAGTGGTCTAAAGCACCTACTTGGAACAAGCTTAGCAAAGCACAGGGACCGCGGTTCAATCCCCCAGCACCACAGGCCAGCCAGCCCCGCCCCCTGGCGGGCTGAAATGGCCACACACACACACACACAAATAAATAAATAAAAATAAAATTTAAAAAAAAAATAGGGGGAGTTATTTGCAATGCATCTTTTAAAATTCTTAAAAGATGTAAACATTCATGGTATTTTTTATCACATCTTATACATCCATCCAGATATCTTATAAATATTTAAGACTAAAATCATGTGTCCAAGTGCTCCTGGTTACCATTCATTACCTAGAGATCTTGTGGCACCTCACATTTGAAAATTTGCCTCCCTCCAGAACCAGGCTTGGAACAGCAGCGCAGTGCCCCTGGCCGGCTGGCTGTGCAGCTCCGGAACTCATCCTGACTCGATCTCCTCACACCCTCACAGAAACCCTCAGCAGAGCTAGCTTGCAAGAGGATGCCCTGCTCTCCTGCGGCTCCGCCCACTGCCTCTTGAGAGCAAGGGCCCCTGTGTTTACGCCCTCTTCCTTTCTCTTGTTGCCACCACAGGGCTAACTTGACCCTCTCAGTGGCAGCACTGGAAATGTTTCTTACGCAGAGTATCTTCTTCCATCTCTTCAAAAAGTCACGCTGCTGCCAAGTCCATTCTGCACAAACAGCCGGCCCCGCCCCAGTCATTACCCTGTTTTTGAATCCCATAAAGTCTCAGCGTTGTCTGCAGAATAAAGACTAAACATCGTAGTCTGAAGTTAGAGGCCACTTCCCAATCTTCTTCCCAACTGCTTTCCTGGAACTACTCAACGTTTTAATTGAGTTAAACGTTGACACCACTTGCCCCCTGTTGTGCACGAGTCTTCCCGGCACCCAACCTACCTGCATGCGTACCTTCTGGGTGTTCAGCAGCGCTCTGCTCTGGGTCGGACCATCCAGGCAGGGCGAGCTACTTACAGCACAAAGCCTTTGATGATGGTGGCGATGATGACGACGACGACGACGACGTTAGCCACTCCGTAGTGTCACAATGGATGCCCGGCACTGGATATGCGTCATCTCATTTATTTCTTCCAAATAACCTCATCCCCATTTCAGTGGTCAGGAAACTACTGTTCGGACCCTATCCAATGTAAATGTATACGTGGCAGTGTTAGGGCTCAAAACAAGGCAGTCTGATTCTAAAGTTCACAAACGTTAACTTCCTCTCTCCTTAGGTACTTGAGAGAGAATTCAATGGCCCTTTATACTGCATTCCTTTTATTTTTATTAAGTGTATTGGTTCATTTTAGGTATACATAATGATCACATTCATCATAGGAATTTTTACCTATATATGTTTCCTCTCTCTCTCTCTCTCTCTCTCTCTCTCTTTCTGCTCTCATTTTTTTTTTTTATTTATTTAAAGATAGGGTCTTGTTATGTAGCCCAGGCTGGGCTCAAACTTGTAACACTGCTTCCTCAGCCTCTGACTTGTCTCTGATAGGCTCAGGCCCTAGTGTGAATTGCTAAAATTACCATGGGGGTCATCTGCTATGGCTGAAGCCCTTAAAGCCCAACTCCCCAAGACCCCTCCCCCACTTCTACTCTAACTCAACCCAGGACATAATTTACTTTTACCCTTTGCGCCACCTCAGGGAAGATCCCCAGTTTCTCAGGTATATCTAAGCATCCCCTTCAAGCCCCTCCCCTGGAAAAAGGCCATAAAAGCTTCAACCTCTCTATGTCTAGTCTAGAGAATTTATCTTCCCCAAATTCTCTCCATGTCCAAAAAAATAAAGCCCCTTTCTCCTTTTTCTTCTGCCTGTTTCTCTGCTGTGCAGAGTACCTATCAGTCCCAGCCTCCTGAGTAATTGTTTACAGGTTTAACCACTATTTACTTATTTTTTTTTTGGTGGAACCGGGGATTGAACTCAGGCCCTTGCGCTTGCCAGGAAGTGCTTACTCTACTGAGCCATCTCCCCGGTCCCTTTGATACAGGGAGGTAAAACTGATCTAGGGGGCAGTGACCTCCAAATGATGTAGGGAATCTCCAAATGACATAGAGAAAAATGATCTCCCGACCTGACCTGGACGAGTTTGTGTTCTCTAAAATCGAAGAATGAATTCTCGGAACAAAGGGAGGTTATGAGCAGAATATATTTATTGAGGGAAAGAAAGCTCATGTCGGAGAGACAGGAGAGGGGCCTGGAGCGGGTGGTCCCCAGAAAGCTGTCTCTTGCATGGACTTTTATAGAGTAAAACCATGCAGTGAGGCGGTTTAAGGTGGTGGGAACATGGGAACTCGCTTAGGTGTATGTGGGATGGGACAAAACTATGGTCACCCAATGGGATTACAAACACCATTGCTCAGGTAAAATTGAGTCCAGGACCAAATGGGGCAGTGAGTCACGTAGCAAGTGGGCATAAATGTAGAACAGGACTTTATCAGGTAGCCATCCAGTAGTAGTTGGATTAATGATTCTCCTGGCTCTCTCAGGGTGATGAGCAATCTCGGATGCCAATCTTTAGGGAGGTAGGCATTTGTTTGATCTTTGGTCTTCAGGTCTGGCCCACGGCAGGAGCATCTATCCCTCCCAGAGTTGCAAAATACCTTGTCTTCTCTAGTATCTCCTTTGAGAGCCTGGCCCTGTCTGACTGCCTATAATATTTCTATTAAACTCGGCTGCCTGCAACACCTTTAACCACTATTTACTACAACTGTTTCCTACCTGGAAGTAATTTGTCTTTTCTGAGCTATAATCATACTTGCTTTAAGCCTCTTTTTCGGTACTATCATAAAATGTATTTTTATTACTCATGCATATACTTCTTTGATGGAGACCAGTAATAGGCAGGTCTGAGCAGGATTTAAATTAACCAATGGGCTTTCCATGTTTACTTGTGAGTCTGTCCAAAGCCCAGGCCTCTTGTCTGGAAATGGGTAGTAGGCTCATAGCAAGCTAACTTCTGTGAATCACTGATCCTGACTGACCTATAGTGGCCTATGAAGCCATGATAACTCAAAGGACATGACAAGGTCACAACTAAGGACAACTGGTGTCTAGTTACTCTTCTCTCCTTGCTGGGACAAATACCCAACACCCAAAATGAAGGCAGGAAAAGTTTATTTAGCTCACAGTTACTAGAGGTTTCAGTCCATATTCAGCTGGCTCCAAGGCAGCCTGGAACATGGCAGAGAGCAACCTTTCACAGTGGCAGCGAAGAGCAAGAGCACAGGGAGGAGTAGCAGCAGCTCAAGCAGCTAACTTCTCTTTCCTCTATACATTGAAATGCAAATTACCTGCCCCAGAGCCGGTGCAGCATCCATACCCACAATAATCAATCACAAACTCCAGAAACAGCCCCAAGACTGCATGAGGCTTTGGGGGGACAACTAGACACAAACCCTAACACCTGGGTCCAATCTCAATTAACTAGATAAAGACTAGCTGCAGGCATCTCTCTGCTGCCTTGAAGGCTTTCCTGGAGATAACATAATTCTCCCAGATTAACATAATGTCTCACCTGGAGAAGTCCTTGAGTGACTTCCAAAGTCCTTGAGTGGTCCAGCTCAGATTCCCACCTTTCTTTAGTATTTTCCTCTTTTATTTGATAACTAAACAGATATGGACAAATCTTTGTCTCAGCCCCCAGAAAATCTTGAATTCTACTAGAAAGGTTTCCATCCTCCTGGAGCCGTAAAGTCACATCCTTTGACTCATATGGAAACCTTCTTTGTTTCTCTTTTTCTCTGCTTTTTTCTTTGCTTTTTTCTTTTCTTTTCTTTCTTTTTCTTTTCTTTTTCTTTTTTCTTTCTTTCTTTTTTTTTTTTTTTTACTATATTCACTTAACAAACATTTATGGAGCACTTTTTTCTTGACCACCCCTTGAAGACTTGAAAAAGAGAAATCAAATGAGTTTTCCATAAAGGAAATCGCAATTTAACTGAGGGTGACAGATACCAAGTAAATTTTAATTTAAAATATAATAAATCATGATAATTTTAATATCAAAATTTTTAAATGTTCCAGGGCTATAGAGTGCTTAATGCTACTATGGGATTGAAAAGATAAAGCAAAGGTAAGGTTGTGGTGTCTCGCATCTGTGATCCTAGCACTTTGGAGGCTGAGGCAAGAGGATCACTATGACTGCTACAAGTTCGAGGCCAGTCTGGGTTATATAACAAGACCCTATATCAAAATAAAAAGAAGATAAGGCTGTCACTGATACATCCTGTAATCTTTATTATTTTATATTTCCTAGTTGCCTTTGAATGACCATGGCTTCAGTTAATAAGTTGAGTTGGAAAAATGAAGGCCCTCTGCCCCTGCCCCTGCCCCTGCCTCTGCCTCTGCCTCTCTGTCTCTCTGATATAGGGGAAAATGATCTCCTGACCTGACCTGGATGAGTTCGTGTTCTCTAAAACCAAAGAATGAATTTAAGAACAAATGGAGGTTAAGAGTGGAATATTTATTGGGAAAGAAAGCTTCTGTCTCAGAGGGGACAGAAGGGGGGCCCAAGTGGATTGCCCAGGAAGCTGTCTCTTCCAGGTTATTCTTATAGGGCAAAAGCACGCAGGGCTAAGGACCTCGCTTAGGTGGACAAGAGGTGGGACAAAACTATGGTCAACCAGTGGGATTACAAGCACCACTGCTCAGGTAAAATTGATTAAGTTCACGACCAAATGGGGAAGAGAGTCTTGTAGCAAGCGGGCATGAATACAGAATAGGACTTTATCAGGTAGCCATCCAGTAGTAGTCAGGTTAATGATTCTTGGTCTCCCTTAGGTTGATGATCAATCTTGGATGCCAATTTTTTTTAAGTCTGTAGATAAATATTTTATTATTTTTTTTCCCATAATTTTATTGATAAACAAATAGCAATGAGACAGTTTCAAATCAAATCGGTAGGATCGGATGCCAATCTTTAGGGAGGTCGGCATTTGTTTGATCTTTGGTCTTTAGGTCTGGCCCACAGCTGGAGGATCTGTCCCTCCCAGAGTTGCAAGATATCTTGTCTTCTGTGGTATTTTCTTGGAGGGCCTGGCCCTGTCTGACTGCCTATAGGATTTCTATCTAACTCAGCTACCTACAACATCTCTCTTTCTCACTATACAATACAGTTAAGTTTTTCCACTTTTCTTTCATGGCAATAATAATAGCCAATATTTATTATGCACTTGCTTACATATCTCAGGTACTGTTTAATGCAGTTTGTATGTAAGAATTCAGTCAGTGTTCACAATATGCTTTAAGGCAGACACTTTTTTTTTTTTTTTTTTTTTTTTTTTTTTTTTGAGATGGGGAGGTCTCACTGTGTTCCTCAGGATAGTTTCAAACTCCTGAGCTCAAATGATCCTTCTGCCTCAGCTTCCAGAATAGGTATGTGCCACCATACTTAGCTTGGTCACTACTGAGATTTCCATTTTATAGAGGAAGCCAATGAAACACAAGAATTAAACCTGTGTCCTAAGTGTGTGTCTGTCTTTTTTTTTTTTTTTTTTTTTTTTTGGAGACAGAGTCTACTATGCATTTCAGGCCATCCTTGAGCTCACTTTGTAGCCCAGGCTGGCCTTGAACTCTGTGGCAAGCCTCCTGCCTCAACCTCAAAAATGCTCCTATTACAGGAATGCAAGAGTAATGGCCCAACTGGGGCTATTTTATAGATAGAGAAATTGGGCCCCAAAGAGAAATCAGTGTCGCCTAGACTAGTTGGCAGTGGAACTGGAGCCCAGATCCTCCAACAGCGGCAGCTCCACTGCGCTCCCCTCACCTGTCTGGTTCTGAACTCACTTGCCGCAAATCAACCCACCTTGCTCCCTGGCAGGGGAAGCAGTTCCCAAGCTTTCCAGTCATTAACACTCCATCTTCCTGAGATTTGCTAGATTCTCATAATAACATCTCCTGTATTGTTAGTCACTTAATATTTTACATAAGCTCTTGAT